TGAGTAAACGTAAAAAAAAATTATCACGTTAATACAATAATTACCTCTACGGCACTATGAATCTGTGCGATATTTTGTGCAGTTTCTTTTTCAAAGTCATCTTTCTAATAACTTCTTGGACTAAAAAAAGCACTTCTTCAATAGAAATCGAGTAGTCAATAGGCCCATAAGCTTTTGTCCCATCGATCCATTCTTCGGCTTTAAGTAATAATTCTTTTGTTTCTTCTTGGACATGGGTGACTGCTGTGGACATTAAAGGCAAGATGAACTCTCGACAAGTTGATTCATTTCGATTGACAATGCCAAATGCACTCTTCTTTTTTTTAAGTTCAGCAATAAGTTGGGCAATAGCCTCTTCGGAGATTGGGGGGTTAGATCTCGGAAGATCATCTATGCTAAAAGATTGAATATCAAACATAGTTAAACCCCTTTGATGCAAGAACTCATTTAAGGCCTCGCCAATTTCCCAATCGTCGTATGCCTTCTTTTCTATAAATGAAAAGCGAGTAAATATATATACAAGCTGAACCCTAACAATATTCAAAGTATTGGCGTTACCTGTTACTTGGATTGAAATATTGACTTCACGTTTACCTTTTTCATTCGGTTGAATGTCCGCTGTTATTTCATATATTGAACTGTATCCAATCGCAGGGTTTGAAACTTTGATTCTGCAACATTACGAACGAGATACCAAAGCCCGCTAGTATGTGGGAAACTAGACTTAAACCATGATGTTGAAAGATTGCAACGAACAATGACTGAAAATTGGAATAAAAAAATAAGTTATTGGTGTAAATGTAAAAAAAAATAAAAAATCTTCGGCTTACCAGTTGAAGTTGATAGAGAATACCGGACTACAAGTGGTGCAATGTCAGTTGTACTCTCGGATAGGGAATTAAGGTTGGTTCCTGGTGGAAGTGGATTTATGCGGTTATTAAAGGTAAAAAACTCGACATCTTTCAACATTCTTAAGAGCTTTGAATCTTTCACAAAGAATAGGTTTAAGGCGGTCTAAGTTAAAACTACGGGTCATATAATTGTTCTGATTAATATCGACTTCTACAGCACTCGCCTTCCCTTCAAGAAGCGCCCACATCGTTACTATAGAGCTTGAGCATATTGCCGACTCGTTTATATTGGTCATTTTCTACGGCCACGGATAATATTAAAATTGGTTAGTAACTTACCAAAAACAGCATGAGTTAAATGATTACATATTTACTGTGCTATGTGTACATATATGTTTTAAACTTGAAAGGAGAAAATAGTCTTTCGTTTTTACTTGAGGTATCTTTGCTGTATAGGAATTTAGGCGTGAAAATTTAGTGATTAAATAATCATTGAACTAATTCAAAACTTTCTTTTGAGAGAAGAAAAATTCACCTGCTTAAGTTGAACCTTATATATGGCCCCTTTCATCGGTTTAGACTTTTTTCAGCAGCATAGTATTGTAATATCAGATATTTCTTTTACTAAACCAAAATAAAGCTTCCCTATTACTATATTAGGATAAATATAGATATACTAATGAAAAGAGTCTGAACCGCT